AGAAATCAATTAAAACACGCTGGCGCGCATCCACTTCTCCGCGTCGACTGAGGCGCACCGAGCTGAATCGAATCGCATCGGCGAAGAATTTCCCCTGTGAAGCAATTCGCGCGGTCGATTCAATTCGGCGCGCCGCGGCTCGTCGCTAATGGACGCAGTTTCATAGTAAATATATGCGACTTTAAACAGAGGCGACTTTCTGCGATTCGATTCGCTCGAAAGTCGGCTCGGCTCGCCGAGCAAAAAATCGGCTCGGCGAGCCTAGTGGACGCTTAGCCTTAAAAAGCTCATTTTCATTGATGGGGAGTACCTATCGATAACTGGATAGGTACTCCCCAGGAACAGGATATCGATAGCAGATCAATAACACTTACAACAACGGATGGAACACGCCCCTTCACACTACGGTACTTCTAGGCGGATATAATATGACAGATTGAGATTCTGCACACCTCTGCATCAACCAAAACATCATCATCATCACCCTTTTATTAAGCTATACGAGGCCGCCACTGAAAGTTTTTAGAACTGGTCACTTATAAACGATATAATAAAAAAATAAGTTCATATTTTGAAAATGGAACTCCTTGCCAATATTATTGTCATCATCATCATCATTACAGCCCTTCACAAGTCCACTGCTGAACATAGGCCTCCCCCAAAGAATGCCACAAAGCACGGTCCTGAGCCACCTGCATCCATCGACTTCCTGCATGTCTTACCAGGTCGTCACTCCATTTCGTGGGGGGACGCCCTACACTTCGCCTACCGGTACGAGGCTGCCACTCGAGAACCTTTCTTCCCCATCGGTTGTCGGTTCTTCGAGCTATATGGCCGGCCCACTGCCACTTCAGCTTACTAATCCGTTGGGCTATGTCGGTTACTCTGGTTCTACTGCGGATATACTCATTCCTAAGTTTATCACGCAGAGAAACTCCGAGCATAGCCCTCTCCATAGCTCGCTGAGCGACTTTGAGCTTCCTCATACGGCCAGCAGTGAAGGACCACGCCTCAGTTCCATAAGTCATCACTGGCAACACGCACTGGTTGTACAATTTCGTTTTCAGGTTTTGAGGTATGTCTGACGAGAAGATGTGTCGTAGCTTCCCGAACGCTGCCCAGCCGAGTTGAATCCGTCGATTGACCTCTCGGTCGAAGTTGGACTTACCTAGTCGGACTATTTGTCCCAGGTAAACATAATCGTCAACAACTTCGAGCTTAGTGCTCCCAACAACTACCGGCATAGGTGTGACATGGACATTGAACATGATCTTTGTTTTGTCCATGTTCATCTTAAGACCTATCCGTTGGGAAACACTATCGAGGTCATTGAGCATAGTGCTTAGGTGCTCCAGCGATTCTGCCATAAGGACTATATCGTCGGCAAATCGAAGGTGAGTGATGTACTCGCCATTGATGTTGATACCGTATCCTTTCCAGTCCAGAAGCTTGAAAACGTCTTCCAATGCAGCGGTGAAGAGTTTCGGGGATATGACGTCACCCTGTCTTACACCTCTCTGCAATTGGATAGGTTTCGTACTCTGGTTCTGTACTCGGATAGCCATCGTAGCCCTACTGTACAAGCACTTCAACACTTCGATATACCGACAGTCAACTTGGCACCGCTGAAGGGACTGCAGCACCGCCCAAATTTCGACGGAATCGAAGGCTTTCTCATAGTCCACATACGCCAGACATAGTGGCAAATTGTACTCTTATAATATTATTGTGTATGTATTTAATTAATTTGTCATATGTTTACGATTTGGCGGCAAATTGAAAATTGTCTGTGTCACGTCAGCATGAATTTAACGCGAGAAAATTTTCATACAATGATTTTTTATGACTTTCGATGTCATTTAAGTCAACAATAAAGTTATGATAGACTTCGATTGGCCTTTCACGATGAAGCCCCATCTCGTGCTACTGTTTACAACTAGTTTAATGAGTTTAAACGTGGTCGCACTAATGTCACCGATGATCTGCGTGAGGGACCGCCTTCTACGGCGATGACTGAAGATAACATCAGTATTGTGCGGCGTATGATAGAGACTGACAAGCTTAGGCATCGGTATGAGTCAAGTGCACAAAATCCTTCATGAACATTTAGCGGTCAGGAAACCTTGTGCCCGGTGGATACCTCATAATTTGACAAAGGCACAAAAACTACGTCGTGTTGATTGGTGTCGTGAAATCGTTCAAAGAACTAACAGAGGTGACTCTAAATGCTGTGTTCGACATACTTACGGGTGACTAAAGCTGGATTTATTGTTATGATCCTGAAACTAAGAAACAGTCTGCTGTCTGGGTGTTACCTTCCGAGGAGTTGTCAACTAAAGGGAAGAGAGGACGAAGCCTGGGAAAAAAGATGGTGGCCTCGTTCTTTGGAAGGAAGGTCATTACGCAACAATTGTTTTAGAGGATCGAAAAACACTTACTGCAGAGTGGTACACTAGCAGTTATTTGCCACTTGTCTTGGAAAAAGTTCGGGAGGAACGACCTCGCAGTAACTAGGATCGACCTTTACCACGACAACGCCTCGTCGCACACCGCCAAGCAAACAATCGACTACTTGGCGACGTCAGACGTGGAATTACCGGGTCACCCACCCTACAACGCCAACCTCGCAACTTGCGATTTTTATTTATTTCCGAAAATAAAAGAAAAACTTCGAGGAAATGTTTTATGGACGCCGAGAAAGCTGTGGCTGCGTTTCAAAATGCCGTCGATGAGACCTCTAAGGACGAGTGGGCAAAGTGCTTTTCTCAGTGGTTCCATCGGATGCAGCGATGTATTGATGTAGATGGACACTATTTTGAAAATATATTTTTAATACAGTTGCTCAAAAAGTGCCGTGTTGCAGGAACGTATAGCGTTCGGGATGTGGGCTATTACATACTCGAGCTTTTTCTTTACCTTTTCCGAACTCGTGCGTTCTCTTTCCCAACTGTCAAAATAATGTCTATTAAAAAGAAAAAACCAACCACGAAGTTTTTCCTAAAAAAAAATCATAGATGTTTTCATGATTCATGCAAACTAATTGAATATTTCTAAAAAGAAGCTACTAATTTGTTTCAATATCAGATTTAATGATTTGATTCAATGAGTTAGGTTAGGTTTCATTTCATTTCATCGCATTGAATTTCATTTTCATTTCATATCAATAAAAAATTTCTACTGAAGACTTGGCTGTATGGGCATAGTTCCCTTTGCCTACCCAGAATGGGTGAAGAAAACAAAAAAAATCTTTATTATATTCTTTTACGGTTGGCGCCATTTTCCAAAAATGTTCTTTGCGAGGTTAGCTGTTTGTTGCACAAAATGAGTAATCTCGACGATATTTTATTTGAATTAACACCACCGGAACTCAGTATAATTACACAAAATGCTTCGGAGAACATTTTACCGGAAAAGTCAAAAAGTCGCTACATATCTACATACCACAAATTTATGCATGGAGAGAAGAGAAAAAGGCAAATAGTTTTTCAGAAAATGTTATGTTATATTAATCAAATCCCTATTTTTGGCATTGTTGGAGCTTGCCGCAGAGAGGAGTTAGCCAATATTACTTTAAAAGATATTAAAGCCCATGGAAAAATGCTACTGATCAAGATTCCGAATACAAATAATAAGATACCGAGAAGCTTTGTTGTTGAAGGAGATTTTCTTAGAATAGTGCAAAAAATCAGCGGTCCCAAAAAGCAAAAACCGACCGTTTTTTTCCAAAATTATCAAAAAGGGAAGTGTACAGGCCAAGCAATCGGGATAAACAAGTTTGGTAATATGCCAAAAGAAATAGCTACGTTTCTTGGTCTGCCGGATGCTGAATATTATACTGGGCACAGCTTCAGGAGGACCTCTGCTACATTATTGGCAGATTCAGGAGACAATTTGACGTCCTTAAAGCGACTAGGAGGTTGGAAGTCAGACAAAGTTGGTTGGAAGGCTATATTGCTGATTCATTAAACAACAAACTAGAAACTTTGAAAAAAATCACACAATCCATTAATTTAAAGTCCAGTCCGTCTCCTTCACATGACAATACTGAAGAGAACGTTCGTCCATCTACCTTCGTTGATAATGATAATTCATCAGATCCAATTCCATCAACTAGCAAACGCCATTGTATAACACCTTTGACAAATATACATGAACAATCATACGAAATTAATAATAGTTTGTCTCAAACAGTAAATATGCAACCTAAAACTTCCCCAGTTAGTATAAAAAACTGTACCTATTTCAATGTATATGTGAATTATAATTTTTATAAGAAATAAATGATTAGTTAGTTGATTTTATTGTTTTTATTATTTTATTAAATTGCTTCATTTTTTCGCAACTGTATTAAAAATAGTTGTTCAGTACACGTGCGGAACCGTCATTGCAACTTGTTCCGACTGTCAACCCTCACCTTTCGGCTGCGCCTCGGCTGGGGTAGACATTTGTCGGAACAGGCTTTCCGCACTCGTAATGAAATATACTAAATAAAACTAATAACTTGCTAGGTTCTTCAGTTTCTGATTTTCAGTGTCACCCTCGTATAAATAATTGAGTCGTCTGACTTAGAGTTGAATCAAATGAATAAATGACTAAAAGTATTAACATCACAGAAAATAATAAAATAAAAACAAAAAAGGCGATACACCGCAGGCAGGGAATACTAGTAGATGCAGTAACAACTAATGAAATTCATCAGTCGTAATCCAGCATACGAGGACCCGTCACCCCCCACTACGTCATCCCCTCTACGCCTCATTCGCGTGTTTTTGATATACTACAATTTAATTAGTATATTTGTTATGGATGCTGTTGGTTCGGAACCATGTTTTGTCGCATTCCTTGGGCGAGGCCTTTGTTCCGCAGTGCACAAGTTTTAGGCCGTAATGATGATAGAAGATTTAAAATATGCCACATTTCTATTGCTAAATTATTGCCTTAATAGTTCTGAACATAAGCAAATGTAAGGGCAAGTGAATGTACGACAATGTAATGATTACCTTTCCTTTCCTTACACTCAACATCTGAGACAGGCGGTCACCGTGCAGTAAACCAGCAAACATTTTATTTAGCAGATCATCCTTATCTTCATCTAGTAAGTTCTTTACAGGTGCCGGTTTTTGATTGACAGCTAAGTTCACCACCTGTTTAATTTAGAACATGATAAGTTTGGTATTTATATCTTTTTTACTAACCCTCCTATTCACTGCCGGGCACAAGCCTCTCCTATGTAGTAAGTTTATGTAAAAAATATTACTAATCTTTAAAAGCCCATTATGAAATATTCGGTCTATTTTTAATTAGTACAGACAAGGAATGAAAAATTTCAGACTGACTCGCAATATAGCTTAATATAGCTAGCTATAGACATAATAAATTATTTTATTTATGTTCTTTTTACATGATAGAACCACAATGCAGTTGTATTACAGCTGTAGTATTATTGGATTAGGCTCTCACAGAATACCAGCGTGAAATAGCAGCTACTATGTAACGAGCAATTCCATCTTAATCCTTAGGGATATCATGGGGTATATTTACTTCCTAATTGTTAAGTCATGATAGATGTAAGTGTGAATGGGCCAGCATTCACTTACCATCAAGTGAACTGTGTGCTAATTTATCAGTCTCAGTAACTAAACACTCAACATAAACTTCACATTTCACCGGATAACATAATGTATAATGATTCTGATTGATCCTATGGCTTACTTTGGGACTACTACGTTTTTTCTTACAATCATTCAATAAATAATTTGTATGGTTTACAGGGCCATACACTGTCAAGAAGTAGATTTGAAGTTAGTTGACGAGCACGTCAAAAGGAAAAGATCGCTAAAGTTTAAAGTTTTATTAAAAAGTAAAGTAGTTAAAAAGTTATTGTGGCAAATCTTTCCTTGAGTTAGTGTTTAGTAGGACGGTTGATGACGTACTGCCTTGAAGTTAGATATAATAAACTTATTACTACTACTATAATAAATATTGAAGTTAGATATAATAAACTTATTATTACTACTACTATAATAAACGTGCGCCCGGAAAGTAAGTCGCAACGTGAGCGCAAAATAAAGTTGAATGTACGATGGCTTGCTCGTACATCATTATCTGTCAAAGTCATCAAATATCGGAACTGAACATAGGCCTGCCCAGCTGATTGCCTCACAGTGTGGATATTTGTAATACTTTCCATGCTTGGGTGGCTGGTTGGCAGTCAGTTTTTATTCTGAGATGTTATCATGAAGATGCTGCTGCCCATCTTCTGTTACATTTCTCTCTGTCACCTCTTACGACACCCACGGAAATGATCAGGAGTAGAACGATTATTTTACACCGCCACTACATTTTTCACTTTGGATATATAAAAAAGGAATTATAGTAAGTTAATATATATCATGTAAAGTTTATCCTAAAATCTAGATTTTATTCAAGGGTCGAAATTACTTGCCTGCCTCTTGTCTATGCTTTCGCTTTTAGGACTCTCCTGTTTCGGCCTTCTTTGAACGGATTCGATGTTTCTGAGGAAGAGATTTGAATCTTCTTCTGGTTCATTTTCTAGCGCTTCCTTTTGTGCCGCTTCCAACTGTTTCTGCTTCTCTTCTCTTTCCTGTAGCAGTACAATTAGTTTATAATTAAAGAATCTCACAGAATACCAGAGTAAAATGGCATCTTGACACTATTGTGTTTCGTATGGTGAGTGTAGAGAACCGGAATTACCCATTTTACTGGAAAAGAGGCATTCCATCTTAGTCCTGACGGGTGACGACGCATCTGCATTTTAATTCTATATCTGTACAAATAAATAAAATTGGAGTGTGTTTGTAAGGTCAAACAGCTTTTCACTAAATGCATATGAAAGTATATATGGTACTTATAACAAAAACAAAATTCTTAAAATTTTTGTCTGTCTGTCTGTTCGTCTGTCTGTCTGTCTGTTTGTTCCGGCTAATCTCCGAAACGGCTGAACCGATTTTGATGGAATTTGCACTGGCAGAAAGCTGATGTTATAAGGAATAACTTAGGCTACTTTTGTTTTAAAAAAAGAATAAGGGTTCCGCGCAAAAAAATTTAAAACCTAAATTACACGCGGGCGAAGTCGCGAGCAACAGCTAGTCGAGGATAAATGTAGATGTCAATGGGTCACAGCAACCACTTACCATCATGTGGACTGTGTGCTCGTTTGTCACCCTATCCTATAAAAGAAAGTGACAATCGAAATCCTATGAACATCTGTAACCAACGTCGTTATTGTTACCTCTGAGACCTAGGATCAAAACATCTTGTGTAACCAACCATGCTGGCTCTCCATACCTTTCAAAACGGAACGCACAATTTTAAAACACAAATATTTAAAAATGGTCCAGAGTGTTTTATTGTATAGCATGCGCGACTTCGTTCGCGTGGAATATATTGCGATTAGATTTCATGGGCTTTTAATATTTTTTGCGCGGAACCCTAATTCTTTTTTTTTTATTAAAGTACATGAGCCATCTGTCAGTGAAAGTCCTGTCAAAATCGGTTAAGCCATTTCGGATATTAGCCGGAACAAACAGACAGACAAAAATTTTAAAAATTGTGTTTTTATTAGTACCTACCGTATATACTTTCATATTATGTATTTAATACAAAGCTGTTATTTTGACATAACAACAGTCACTTCAATTTTATTTGTACAGATATAGATATATAGACTAGACTTCTCCCCGCGACTTCGTTCGCGTGGAATTTATTACGATTGAATTTCATGGGCTTTAATATTTTTTGCTTGGAACCCTAATTCTTTTTCTAAAATAATAGTAGCCTAAGTTACTCCTTATGGCATCAGTTATCTGCCAGTGAAAGTCCCGTCGAAATCAGTCCAGTCCATATAAGTACAAAGGTTCATAAGTTAGGGTCTTAAGTGCCGTGTATACTTCCATATGAACTCGGCCTGTGCTTTTATGATGATGCCGGTCCCAAGCCCAGATAAAGGAGGCTTTGCTAGTAGTGACCAATACAGCCGTAACAGGTAGTGGCGAGAGGCAACACGCCCTCTTTATTCCGGATGTCAAGCCAAACATTGGCCTTATCTGCAGGCCACGGATAGGGATATGGCCAAGCGCCCCGTCAGAGGGTCCCAGGCGAGGGACATGGGGGCTGCCTAGTTTCCTGAAAAGGGCTAGATAGTGGTAAAGGCCATGCTGACGTAGATAGTAACAGTCATTCAGGCAGCGGGAATGAGCCTTTTCAGCCCTATCTGCCAGCTGGATCGAGCTCCAGATGTCGCGCCGTGAGCCAACTTCGCATTCCCTATATTCCCCCAGTAATCCAAATGCCTGAAATTTCTTTTATTTTAAGGTGCGGGCTCCATGGAGGGTGGTGCCAGAGGGATGAATCAAATAAACTAAATTAATAATGGACGCTTTAAGGCTCAACATAAAAGAAGGAGAGGTGTCAGAAGTGACTACCAGAGTTACCAACAAACAAGGCGGATCCGCCAGTAAAATGGCGGTACCACAGAATATGTCATCCAGCGTAGGTGGCCTATAAAGGAAATTCCGCATTGGAGACTCCTAAAGAGACATACCTTAAGTATGAGCGCATTTGAAATCGCCAGAGGGTCATTCAGTTCCTCCAGCCTTAACAGGATCAAATATAATGCTTCAATGTCCAACAGTAACTGTTTCGTCCTTTTCACTTCCCGCGGGACCTGTGAACATAAGAAATACCATGTTAACAAAAAGTCTTAAGCAAGTATTAAATTGTAATTTTAATTATGTATGTGTATTTATATTTGAACTAGTTATGCCCGCCATGTGTTGCAATAGCTTTTCTTGTCAGAAACATTTCCAGGAACATGTTAGAGAAAACATGGAAAGCGAGCAAATAAACAAATATTTCATTTTTGCCTGAACACTGCAGACCCATATACACAACTTCCTAAAGTTTCATAGTATTTGTATGAATGGAAATGAATACAAAACAAAATAGCTATACAGTGTGTCCGGTCACGGACTAGCGATATTCTAGATACTTATATTACAGCTATTTTAATACACAAATACACTACACACTGAGGTCTAATCCCTTTCCCCTCTACGTGACAGCCATTATGTTTTTTTTTTTCTTGAGATATTCTCTACGTGTGTACAAAAAAATCATATCTCTCAAAGTTTTGGTCTTACTGAGACAAAAATATACTCATTTGGCGAGCAACAATATTGTCTATCGTTTACATTACGAAAAAATGGGTTCAAATACTCGTAATTTTAAAAAAATATTTAAGTTCAAAGAAATATTAAAAAATTATGCAAATCGGCAAATTATTAAATTAGCCCCAATTACCCTTTTTATTTTTTAGTAGATCGACAGATTTTGAGTTACGCGATAAAAAATTAAGTTTACAGCTGTATGACTATTACTTTAAGACTTAATGTTGTTTGAACATAGCGTATACGCAAGCACAAAGATCCTTTGTCGAAACCCTAAACAGGAAAACATTAAAAACACTTGGGTTACTTACTAGTTTTTATTTAATTCTTTTACAAAATTGGCCAACAATTAAAATATCTAAAGCAGTTGCTCAAAGTGGCCACCTCCAGCTTGTGGGCAAGCTAAAGCTCTATGTGCCACCTGAGTTGATATGAGCGCCTAATCATTTGTAAATCAGATCTTATTTCTTCGGCCACTGACATTATTTTTGTGATGAGTTCTTCCGTGGTGTTTGGAACTGTGGCGAACGCTCTTTGCTTCATATGACCCCTCAAAAAATAATCCAAGAGTGTCAAATCGGGTGAGTGAGGTGGCCACGCTACTAGACTACCGCGCCTGATCCATGGCGAATGGTTGTTATATAAATAGTCTCTCACTGCTCCAGCAAAAGTGCGCAGGTGCACCATCAAGCTGGACCCACATACGTTGACAGTACAACAAAGGTAGCTCCTTAAGGCTATCAGCAAACTGTGTCTCTAGGAACTCCAGAAACCTAATGCCGTTTAATATAAGAGGTAATTCCAACGTCCCTATCAAACGATCGTTGATTATGCCTGCCCATACATTCACTGAAAATATGTGTTAAAACGAACTTGGGCGCACCGCTTGACCGCTGAGCATCAGAGATGATAATTTCTGTGATTTGTAATGCCAGCTCTTGTGAATTTTGTTTCGCAGTCCATAATATTTTTTGCAGAAAATGACAGTTATGTCTTACATTTCGAATGATCCACAAACAAAATACAGATTTTGTTGCAAAATCTGTTCCGATAATGTCTTGGACCCGTCGAAAATGAAAAGGGTGTAATCCCTCTCTTTTCAAAACTCTCCATACATTCCACTCAGACAGTTGCAGTTGCACTGCAATCCGTCGAACGCATAGTCTGGGATCACTGGTTATTAGCCTAAGCACTTCATCTTCGGGCGATACCAAACGAGCGCGTTCATTAACAGCCCTTTGAATGCCCCTTTCCGCTAATATGGAATGCACGTCGACAAAAGGTTGGCGACTCAGTGTAGACCTGTTAGGGTATCTTCGTCAATATTCTTGTACAGCTCGATTTGCACTTCCATTGCAAAAGCCATACACGAAGTGTATGTCGGCAATATGTTGCGCTAAATATAACAGTAATACAGCATGGACAATAAGTGAAAGTAGCGATCACAACGGAGGGCGAGCGACCGCTAGTCCGTGACCGGCACACTGTATATTTTATAGTATGGCTCTACATTAAACAATAAATTATACCACCAACAGCTTTTGTGTTTGTTACCAGAACCAACTACGGTGAAAGTAACATGGTGGAGAAATAAAAATACTTCGATGGCATTTGAAGTTCACCAACAATCAACCAGCGCGGCAGGCTTATGGCTTCATAAACCTCTTAGAGGTGAGGCTTATGCTTAGTGTGATTCATGCAGGGTTATTTTTCAAAGAGTAGCCAAATTTTAAACTTAAGTTCAAATATATAAATAATGATATACCGTTATTGCAGTTTTAGAAAATACTAGTAAAATAAGGTTTCTACGTTTTTGCCTACCGATCGACCCTTACGAATGAGTGCGTGCGCAGTAAAATCAGTTAACCATTCAAACGTCCATGGATACTACGGTATCCAAAATAAAAGTAGCGTTGTACGTCCTGAATACTATAGTATCCATAGCATCAAGTTTTATAAAACTGACATCTATGAACAGCTGCATTTCTTTTTGTGAGTTTTGTACATGGAGTCGATAGATGAACTATTTTACGTATGAAATACAAGATGGCAGTGTAACAAGCCTTGATGAATGAACAAATAATTATCTAACTTCAGTGCTTCAGTCTACTCTACACTCGGTGTTTTGTGAACAAGTGTTTTTGTAGTGCCAGCCAGCAATTATGTCGAAAGTATTTTAGTTTTATTTAATATTTTTTAGATTATTATACACCATAGTAAATTAGATGATTTGGGCTTTATAATTACGTACACATATCACAGTTCTAAGTGTAAAATCGAGTCATATTTTAAATTCAAAGTATAACTGTTTAAAAAAAATGGCCATTGTGAAGTCGTCGGCCCAATTTTAATTTTGTTTACTTTGTTTTTCAGTAAAATTATATTTCAGCAACGAGTTATAGTTCATAATAAATATAATAATGCACTTTAAAAACAGAATTAAACTGTATTCACTGAAGATTCCTTAAAAATGTTATTGTGCTCCTCAGGTCTTTGTTGTGGATAGTTTGATATCCATGGACGTAACCACAATGGTTCTAAATAAGGGTCAAATACAAACAAATAGCAAAATATGTTTGCAATATGTTTTGCTTTGTTATTTTTTGCAGCCTGGTGGGGTAAATTACAAAGTGTTTATGAGACCTTAGATAGGCTGCCATCTTGCTTATATTTTGCCTTCGCGAGCGAGTCGAAAGCGCTCGAGACCTCGCGGTATAATTACGAGGAGTAGGTGTTTTGTTTCGATTTATTTAACTACTTAGTCTTAATTAAACATAAACACCTATGCATCATAAGAAAGGTAAAAATATGTCTAGTTTTTTGTGACATTGAATTATTTGTAAAAAATACAATATTTCTTTGTTGTGATGTAAATTAATAAAATGTATACATTTATTTTTCTCCCAATTCAATGTTCACACCTACTTTAATACCTTAAATTATTATTTTAGATCTTAAAACATACATAGGTTTAATTTGTATTCTTCTATGAATTTTTCGTAGTTTTTTTCTTTATTCTAGCTATAATAGTTAAGTAGCTATGTAGGTTTTTTTGTTACAACATTCGTGCGCGGTAGCAGCCGAATCAGGGCCGCACGTATCTGGACGTACAAGGGTACAATAATCGCGCGGGCTGGACGCTTGACTGGTCAAAATAATGTATTACCAAACATTTTGAATTTAAAAGATAAAATGACAGAATGTTTGAGATTTTTTTTTAATAAAATTTTCTTCACCATTTGCCTATATTACTTATTCTGAACCTTCTCTGCAAATTTTGCCAGTTATTAAAAAATAACCCTGTATAATCTGTATCTTTAGTTATACTTTTAAATATTCCTAATATTAGAAGAAAATTATAGTGGATCAGGCATAATTCTTAATTGAGCATATGAAATTTATGAAAGAACTGTTGCATTATACCTCAGCAGGGTTAGTGGTGCTGGCAACACTGGGTGCCCTAGAGACCCTCGCCGACGACGGCTCTGCAGCCACCACTTCTACGTCGATTATCTTCCTAGGAGCTGTTACACTGCCGCACTATGAACAAACAGAAATTTATATATATATATATATATATATATATATATATATATATATATATATATATATATATATATATATATATATAAATATAAAAATACTAATAAGTGCCATGTAGTAGTAGCGTCAGAGAATCCACAACCCTATAACATACCGTGGGTGTCGTAAGAGGCGACAAAGAAAGAGAAACTAGAACAGAAGATGGGCAGCAGCATCTCCCTGAAAACGACTCAAAATAATAAAAAAACTGCAGTTTCGAACCCCTATAAGGCAATCTATGGAGGAGGCCTATATTCAGCAGTGGATTTTATAGGCTCTAATGGATGAATGATAACAACCTAAAACAAAAACTTTTTTTATATACTGTAAGGGTGATAAATGAGCACAAAGTTCACCTGATGGTAAATGGTTGCTGAGGCCCGTAGACATCTACATCTATCCTCGATTACAAATCAAAATGCAGATACGTTGTCACCCGTGAGGACTAAGATGGAATGCCTCGTTTCCAGTAAAAAGTGTCTCAGATTCTCTACACTCACCATACGAAACAGCAGCGTTAAGCTATTTTACGCTGGTATTCTATAAGAGCGTGGTCCTTCCCCGGTCGAGCCGACCCATTCGTGCTACAACCATAATATAGATGCAGCATGGCTCTACCACGTATGAACTTCTTGAAAGTGATTTTATACTTTCCTTTACTTTTATACCCATTCGTGCTAAAACTATACTACTAATATAGCTGCAGCGTGGCTCTACCACGTAAGGAACTACAGTTGCCAACCCCCTATGAGGCAATCACTGGGAGTGGCATAAGTTCAGCAGTGGCGATAATGAATAAATGTAAGATTTTTTATTTAGAAGGGTGATAACACACAGTTCACCTGGTGATAAGTACATGTTGTGGCCCATAGACGCCTACACCACATTTCTATCCTCAATTGACTATCAAAAGCAGATGCGTTGTCACACCTGATGTCTCGTTGGTCTAATATGGGACTGCTGATCATGAGGTTCGAATCCCGGTTTGGTCCAAGATTAGTTATCGGATTTTCTGGCAAGAAATACTCAGTAGCTGCCGAGACTCAAGAAGTTGACGGTGTTTCACCCCCGTGCCTCGGAAAGCACGTAAATCCTTGAGTCCTGCGCGTGATCTCTTTCCAGTTGTGTTGGATTAACATCAATCAATCAATCAATTTATTTATTCGTTTTCACAATCAACAAGGTTGACAATATTATAATTTTTAAGTACTTCAGTGAAATGCTTTTACAGCATACGAATGTATGTATATATTCACACATCATAAAATTAAATATAAATGAAACAAATCAAAATAACAGTTAAATTAAAACAAAATTATTAAATTACATATTTAAATCATTAGTAAATAGAAATTCATTGGCATTATAATAACATTTATCTATAAGAAAATTACTTAGAGTACATTAAAATGTTAGCGCATTATAAACATTTTTATGTGATCAAGTAATTTATTATATAATTTAGGGGCCATTTCAACAAAACATTTTTTCTTAGTTGTACATACATTTGTCTGGATTTTTTTGCTTCCGAGGACGAAGGTTAACAGAAGATGGTTGTACTCTCATATCAAAAAGATCCAGATTGCACTTTACAAACATACATGATTCTAGTATATAAATAATACAGGGTATATAAATAATACAGGGTAATGTCTAATGTAAAAATCTTAAGAGCTCTAAAATATGGTAAGCAACTTTATCCCACATATAGTTTGAATACACTGTTTTTGAGCTTTCATCATCAATTCCCTGTATGTTGATAGTCCCCATAATATATACCATATCGCAGGGTCGAAGCCTCAAAGCCATGGTACGCTGTTAGAACCATCCCATCGGAATATGAGTGTGAGGGAATAAGTGCACCTCGGGCACTATAAACCTGTCCTGTGCAGGATGGCTAGTCTCCGTGACCGAAATTCGATCTGAAGGACATTATTTTTAACAGTAAAAAGGCTCTCCGGTTCTTGTCACTTGCCATATGAAGCACAGCAGCATTATGCTGCTATTCCTCCACTGGTATTCTGTGTGAGCGTGGTCCTTTCCAGGTCAAGCCTGGTTTTCATGATATAATGTGCTCCAGTATAGCTCTACCGTGTATGTATATGTTGGGATTTGTGCTAAAGCCATAATGCAATACATCGAAGCTCTACCCCGTTTGTATAATTAGGGCTCTTTAGTTTATATCAGGAGCCTAATTACAATACCTGCAGTTTCCCGAGTGAATTTTCAAACTGCGTCGGCACATACGCTCTTGGCGGTGCGCCATCTTCACTTGTTGAGTTGTGACGGTGCGAGTTATGACGTTCTCTCGGCTGCTGCTCGTGTTTTACGGCTGAAATTAAACACAAATTTCAATTTAAAAAAAATCTTAATTATAGGTTTTTTAATAAAGAAACGTGGCATTCTTTTTTAAATGAATATACTAGCAATGATATTAACATTACTAATATTCTCTTTAATCACTCCTTGTAAGCTTAAAATGCTCGTGTTCTGAGTGGTTCACAACAGTAGTCAGATGGCAGATTCAAACTCACAACCTTTTGAGTTGGTGGACTGCATCCCGCCATTAAGCTACTTTCGCTTTAAATTATTAAACAGAGACCCCAGTTTTTGCCAGTTCTAACTGTGGACGTTTTTTTTTAGATATTGACGTTTGTAAACCAAGGCAACATCTAGTTTCCTAATTTGCCTCTAGATTACGTTGTCTGTGTTGAAGTGTGTGTTACAAATAGTTATTCTCCCAACTGACAGACATTAATTTTTTTTAATAACTGGCTTTACGGCTCTGGGATCTAGCCCTTCTGAGCCTGAAGTTACAATATATTATAATTATCCTTCTTCGTATACTGCTTCGCAATATGTTGAAGCGTCACATTGTGCAGCCCTTGGGAGATTTTGACGGCAACTTGAGCCAGCAGACAGCTGACGGTTGGCGATGGTTTCTCAAGGCGCGTATGCAGACAGACACCTTATTTTGAGAATCACATCACCATCAGAGCACTTGTTTCACAATTTTCACTAATAGTTCACATGCGCAGACACTTTACACAAAATCGCACCACTTTTACATATCAAAGTCCACTTTAAACCATTATTTAAACAATAATACAGGAGCAGCAAACCGCCGCCGGTCAAGTTCCCGCCAAAACTCCTGACAGACATTCACCGTCTAGCTGAGAAGTGAGAACTATTTATATTCATGGTCTCGTAATGATGGCAGTTGTGTTGTTATTGCTATTTTCACCTTTATTGCAATTTTTTATATATATATATATTTTTAAATTATGAACAAAATACAAAACTACAAAAAAAATACAAACATATTTATCATTAAAATATTTATAGTAAATATTCATTGAATGTAAATTTAGGAGCACTAACCGCCACTGTAGAAGGGATGATTTTGCTGGTTTGCTTTGTGAGCCTCCTTCACTCCCTCTTTTTCCTTATTTGCCTGCCTTTCCAGGAATACCTGAAACATAAAATCATATATTGATAGACTATACCCAAAAATAATGGGAATGAAGGGAATCAAACAGTATATGTAAGAATTTAATTTTATGACAATTTCAAAGAGGAAACTAGAGTTGCTGATCAAGTACTCCGAACCAACAGTGATAAAAAGTTAACATAAGAAAATCCACTACCCGTATCGTCCCGTGGGTGTCGTAAGAGGCGACAGAGGGAAACAGAAAAAAGAAATCAAGAGAAGCACTTTCATGTTATGAACTAAAAAAAAAACTGTAGTTGCCAACATGCCCATCAAGCATTGGTACAAGATACCAAGATATCTATGTTCAGCAGTGGACTTTTGATATGCTTTAATTAATAATATAGTGAAGATTTGCCTTACCGTGTAATAGAAATCGTGTATGTACGGTGTCCCCGTATTTAGCTGCAGCATCTGTATGTTTATAAGCCACTGTTTCTCACGCTGCGTCATTAGACCGGCGTATTCGTCAACGTCGCTTCCACTAAGACTGCTGTCATCTCCATTCATGATATGCCTGAAAGTAATATAAAAAATGGAAATTATTTAAAACAAGCGGAAAAATGTTTGTTATTAAGTGATAATGACATTGTGATAGTGATGTGATAAAAACTGACTAGCGGTATTTAATGAAAAATTTACTGAACTGCCTGCTAATGTTGATCAATAAAATAGTTTAAAACTGGCTGTGATAAGTTGCTCATAATTAAATCCATAATATGTATTGATATTTTAGGACAGAGATATAAATAATAAATGAGCAACTAAAATGCTGAGCTAATGATGAAAAATACTGAATACCTAATACTAATTACCTATGGGTTTAAGGTGATATTATAGTCAGAGTTACTGTCATTGTCCACATTTTGTAGATATATATAATAATATATATATATATCTACAAATTTCCAATATTTTAATACAGAACTATAGATCTCCAAAAAATAATTTCCAAGTAATATCTGATGAGTCATGCTAAGACAGTGGTATGGAAGAAGTAAAACCCAGACTTTAAAAGCTATTATGTGAAAATTATTTTATTTCTTTCAGTTTTTGAAATTGGCTTTTCCTTCTATAAAAGGTTTAATTTTTTACTCTTTTGAGTGGACTGCGTAATAACAATATCACAAGCTCAATGGCACTCAATATTGCCTAAATAGTTACAATAATTACTTCATTTCCTATTTTTTTTATCCCCAAGAGTGCAATACCATTAAGGTAAAAAAGATTAAATAATAAAAAAATTATAAAGAAAAAGAATTTACATTGGTTTACACATACGCGTCGAATATAGAACCTACGTCTTTTTTAAGTCAGTTAACTAAGAAAATCAGAGCGCGTTGTCATTCCTGACTTAAATGATATGCCTCATATAACCTGTAATTACACCGACTCTCTTGCACTTCACCCGTGAATATCCACGACATATATTGTTCCGTGGATGTTTTAAGAGGCGACAGAGGGAAAATGAAACAAGAGCAGCATCTTCTTGATAACAACTCAAAATAATCCATATAATGATATAGACAATATTAGTATAGCTCAGGCCGTCACTTGCACGCCTGAAGAGTGTTATTTACACATCTCAACAACAGTGGTAGAGCTAAGCGGTAGCTTTTGCTGTCGCACGGATGGGCCAGCTCGAACCGGGGTGGTACCACGACCTCACAGAATACCAGCGTGAAGTAGAGGTTTACCTCTGCGTTGCGCTTGGTGAGTGTAGGTGGCCGGAGGCCCAATTCCCCCCCATCAACATGGTAGTGGAATTAAATACAAGACTACCCCAGGAGGGTACCAGCACCCCTGGAGAATCCCTCACTGAGCATCCACGACCAAACTACTTCACTCCTGAGCGTGGGTGCTCAGGCTGCCCCGCGTATTCTGGGGGGGGGGGGGGGGGGGGCAAAATTCCGCTCGTGACTAATGCTGCTCGGGGCAAGCGGAGCAATACAACCAAGGCGACCCCTGTCACGCTATCCGTGAATTTTTGCAACATCAGGGGACTTCATTCCAACCTTAACGCTGTCCATTACCATCTAGAGACGGCGAAGCCGGCCTTGCTCTTTTTAACCGACACTCAGGTGTCCTCTCCGGCTGATACTTCATATCTCTCCTACCCGGGATACAAATTGGAACACTCCTTTGTGCCCCGGGCTGGAGTTTGTGTATACGTCAGAGAGGACATCTGTTTTCGACGCCTCGGCAGCCTTGAAGGTACGGACCTGTCCATCCTATGGCTGCGCGTAGACAGCGACGATCATCCCCGCGTCTACGGGTGCCTCTATAGGTCCCATAGCGGTAATGCCGACACAGACCGACTCATCGACCACGTCCAAATGGCTGCAGACTCCGTGCTACAACAGGTCCCATCCGCAGAGATCGTGATACTCGGTGATTTCAACGCCCACCACGCTGAATGGCTTGATTCTCGTTTAACCGATCATGCGGGTAGATCTGTCTACGACTTTGCTTTGGCATATGGTCTAACACAACTGGTTACTTCGCCTACGCGGATCCCAGATGTGGAAGACCATGTACCTTCCCTGTTGGACCTTCTGTTGACCTCTCATCCGGACGGATATCAGGTCTCCGTCGATGCCCCTCTGGGCTCTTCGGACCATTGTCTGATCCGGAGCACGGTGCCACTCACGCTCCAATCGCAGTTGCGATCTGCAGCTTGCCGCCGTGTTTGGCACTATAGGTCAGCTGATTGGGACGGGATGCGGTCTTTTTTTGCATCCTACCCTTGGGGGCGGGTTTGCTTCTCGCCGGAAGATCCCAGCGTTGTTGCCGATTCTGTTGCTGATGTGGTACTTCAGGGTATGGAACTTTTTATTCCATCCTCTGTGATGCCCATCGGAGGCAGACCCCAGCCATGGTTTGGTCGCTCCTGTAAAATAGCATCACGCTATAAGCAGGAGTGCTACCGGGCCTGGGCTGATGCATCAACGTCTCGGGATTTAAACACCAGCGCACTTAAAAAGAGTATAATTCCGCCTCCAGGTCCTTCAAAAGCGTCATTGCCAAGGCAAGGTCTGAGCACATCGGCAGAATTGGCGAGAAGCTAGTTCGCCTTCCTTCGGGAACCCGTGCATTCTGGTCTCTCGCCAAGGCTGTCCAAGGGAACTTCTGTCAGCCATCCCTTCCATCTCTGCACAGAGAGGACGACTCACTGGCCCATGCCGCAAAAGAGAAAGCCGATCTGTTGTGCTCTCTTTTTGCGTCTAACTCGACTCTAGATGACGGGGGGAACACACCGCCGACCATCCCGCTATGTGAGTGCTCCATGCCGGATGTGCGATTTACACAGCGCTCGGTTCGCAAAGCACTCTTCTCCCTGGACGTCAGCAAGTCGAGTGGGCCCGATGGAGTCCCTCCCATTGTGCTGAAGACGTGTGCTCCGGAGTTGGCACCGGTTTTAACGCGTCTTTTCCGGTACTCCTACTCCCAAGGCGTAGTCCCGAATTCATGGAAGACAGCTTTGGTCCACCCGATCCCTAAAAAAGGCGACCGCTCAGACCCGTCCAACTACAGGCCTATCGCTATCACCTCCTTGTTCTCCAAAATAATGGAATCCATTATAAACTGCCAGCTCATGAGGTACCTTGATGATCACCAGCTGATCAGTGACCGTCAGTACGGTTTTCGTCGGGGTCGATCAGCGGGTGATCTTCTAGTTTACTTAACTCATAGATGGGCGGAGGCAGTAGAGTCCAAGGGGGAGGCATTGGCCGTTAGTTTGGACATAGCGAAGGCCTTCGATCGGGTCTGGCACAAGGCGCTTCTTTCGAAGCTTCCTTCCTATGGGCTTCCCGAGAAATTATGCAAATGGATCACCAGTTTCCTTGCTGATCGGAGCATCAAGGTCGTAGTAGACGGTGCATGCTCTGATTACAAGCCTATCAACGCTGGTGTTCCACAAGGCTGCGTGCTATCACCAACGCTGTTTCTCCTGCATATCAATGATATGTTGCTAACTGGTAACATTCATTGCTATGCGGATGACAGCACTGGTGATGCTCTATACACCGGCCGTGCCAATATTTCTCGGGAAAACGTCGCCGAGTACCGGGACAAACTTGTGTCTGAAGTCGAGTCTTTGCTTAACAAAGTCTCGGATTGGGGCCGACTAAATCTAGTCCAGTTCAATCCCCAGAAGACACAAGTTTGCGCGTTTACCGCTAAAAAGAACCCCTTTGTCGTATCTCCTCAGTTTCAAGGCACTCCCCTTGCTGCCTCAGCCAGTATCGGAATCCTTGGCGTCGACATATCGAATAGCGTGCAGTTTCGTGGTCACTTGGAAGGGAAGGCCAAATTGGCCTCTAAAAAGCTTGGCGTGCTCAGCAGAGCGAGACAGTATTTCATGCCGGCACATCGCTTGCAACTTTACAAAGCGCAAGTTCGGCCCCACATGGAATACTGTCCTCATCTCTGGGCCGGGGCACCCCAGTGCCAGCTCCTTCCACTTGACCGCATCCAGCGCAGAGCGATTCGAATCGTCGACGACAGAGTTCTTTCCGATCAGCTCGATACACTGGCACTGCGTAGAGATGTTGCATCTCTTTGCGTATTTTATCGCATCTATCACGGGGAGTGCTCTGAGGAATTGTTCGGACTAATTCCAGCCGCTCAATTTCACCATCGCACGTCGCGACAAAACTCGCGTTACCATCCGTACCATCTGGATGATTGGCGGTCCACCACTGTGCGATTTAGAAGAAGTTTTCTCCCTCGCACAACTTCTTTGTGGAATCAATTACCACCAGCGAATTTTCCGAACCGATACGACTTAGGAACCTTCAAGAAAAGAGCTTACACCTTTCTAAAAGGCCGGCAACGCATCTGCAATTCCCCTGGTGTTGCGGTTGTTCATGGGCGGCGGTAGTCACTTACCATCAGGTGAGCCGCAAGCTCGTTTGCCCCCTATTCAATAAAAAAAAAAAAAAAGTCACCTAACCATTCTTACCCAAAACATAAGGAGTATATACAAAAATCTTGATATTTTTCAAGCTATGCTCCACTCAACTAAAATCGATTGCGACGTACTTGTTATGACTGAATGTCACCTCTCAAAAATAAAAAGTATTCCTAACCTAAACGATAATTATAACACACATTTTACGAAAAATACCCTAAACCAATGTGACGGCGTAGTATTTTATGTAAAAAAGAAACTAAACATCAACGTATTTGAACCGTACATTACAAACGCGTCCTGCCTTGTTTTAACTCTTTACAAATACTGTTATAATCGGCATTTATCGCACTCCACCTATTAGAAACACTGACGAATTCGTATCTTCCCTTCAATCTCTTCTTATACAATATAATTGCTATCCGAATATTATTATAACGGGTGACATAAACATCGACATCAAAATCGACTCCAAAGATCCAAACTGTCATAACTATTTAACATCACTCACTTATTATGGGATACTCCCAGCTCACAGGCTCCCAACTCGTGATAAAATGAGCTATGATCACATGATGCTGAAAATGTCTCACCCTGCTAAATCACTTGTTCTTACTAATCCTACCACTGACCACAGTAGTCATTCTTGACGTGATGTTTGAACCTCTGCGACGCAATCAGGCTCTAAAAACCAAAATTTCAATCAATTTTGGTTTTTAGAGCCTGATATATTAACAATAACAGACCCTTCTGAAGCTGCCCAGGTTTTGGTTTGTAAAATCTCCACTGCGATTAAAAACAACCAAACTATAAAAAGTGTCCCTTCAAGAAAAAGACATATCAAGGGATAACCCCAGGAGTTTTACGTTGCCTTCGCAATTGCAACAAACTTCATTTAAAGTTAAAAAATAATCCGTATAACGAAATTTTGAAAGTGACCTACACACGTTATAGAAATTATTGTAGTAAACTTGTTCGATAACTAAAAATAATGTACAATAGAAACAATTTAACTAGAGCTATTAAAAATCCTAAATTAGTGTGGAAAACAATAAAATCTATATGTAACATAAACACTAATAAAAATGACTATATACATAACCTACTCTCACTTGGAAAAGCTGGGTACCCCGTAACACAGGTTTTACCAACCTAGTACAGGGGCCCTTGCCACTTGTTTGTTACTACCTTTTGGAAAGCAATAAACGATTTTTGATTTTTTTTTTTGATAATATAATAGACCTATGGTCGCCATTCGCCTACCAAGCGAAGCAAGGCTCTAATCTATGGGGGAGGCCTATGTTCAGCAATGGGCTCTATAGGCTGTGATAGACAGATACAAAACAAAAATAACAATGAAGCTTACCTGTTCACATTATTGAATGTCCCGTTGGGTCTTTGGTTGTTTAGCATGGGGTGATTGTTAACAAACTGACTATTAGTAAACACTGCACTTCGGTTGTTCAACATCGGGTGATGACTGGCGTTATGAAAGCTGTTGTTATATGGTAGCACGGGGTATGTGCTCTGCATCAAAAACTTGGCAAGGTTTTGCGGTGACACCATCTTGTTTGTATTTGCGTTGTTGTAAACACGGGGTTTCTGAGACTTCTGATCGTTCCTCTGGTTAGCCACTGGCTTAACGTTGACATTTTGATTGGACTTGATCTGTTGCGAATGGTTAGTCAGCGGCGATTGGTTCATCGCTGGTTTCATCATATTTTGGTTTGGCTGTGATGCTTGGTTTTTTGGATGTTGTTGGTTCATGATCATATTCTGTTGATTTATTGTAGGCTGCTGTTGCTCTGGTCCTTTATTGGTTGGCATTGGGCCCTACAAAAGTAAGAAATTAGTATAACATTTTATTTTCAATGTGCATAGCTTTTAAATATAATGATTTCAAATATGACCTTCTGGTACTTCGATAACCACACCTCGATAGGTGTGTTATCTCGATAGATACTGTATGTACAAACATACACAAATGCATAGACAAACTTTTTAAAACTAAATTTAGTAAACTCAAAACGTAGAGACAAATTGAAATTTAAAATGTGAAGTGTTCAAAAATCAGATTCATTACTAATAATGACATCTCAAACTCGCATATTTACCAAATTTTCACGTTATTATGCTAAGTCAATACTTACACGAAAATTAGGATTAAATTGGTTCATACTTGGACTAAAATTTTGTCTTGGCATGCTCATTCCAGGTGGTGGGGCAATCATTCTAGGATGGCCCATCATATGAGGAAATTGGTTCATTCCTGGTCCAAACTGTTTACCATTGGGCATCATTTGGTTAACATTTTGGCCCATTTGATTCATATTTTGCCCCATGGGATTCATGTTTTGACCCATTTGGTTCATATTATGTCCCATTTGGTTCATATTTTGACCCAACTGACCCATGGATTGATCCATTTGATTAATAGTCTGACCTATTTGACTCATATTTTGTCCCATTTGATTTTGTAACATCTGGTTTGTTTGATGATTCATTTGTGTATGAACATTTTGCATGTTATGCTGGATTTGATTCATCATGCCCTGTCCCATGTGATTGTTTTGGAACTGAGTACCAATTTGGCTGTTCTGCATGAATGGATTATTCTGACTTAATTGATTGATATTTTGACTTAATTGGTTAATATTTTGGGCCATTTGGTTCTTATTTTGACCCAATTGATTTACATTTTGAGGCATATGATTCTGCATTAGTTGATTTCCTTGTCCAAGTTGGTTCATCTGGCCGGATTGACCAATGACTTTGTTCAAAGATTGGTTCATCTGATTGACATTGTGAGTCATAGGTTGTTGTGGTGCATATGGAAGCGGAACAGGAGCCTGGAGACCCGGTGGTCTTTGAAGTATGACAGGTGGAAATCGAGGCTGTAAAAAAAAGATAATATTACTATGAAAATTCAATATATCATTAAGGAAAACAAAATAAAATTTATTCAATCTATATATAAAAATCAATTGCTGTCCGTTAGTCTCGCAAAAACTCAAAAATGGCTGGAACAATTTTGACAAAAAAAATTGTGTGTATTTGAGTACCCTGGATGGTTTGGATTCACAATCAGATCTGGAAGGTGGTGCTGTGGATGAGATCCAGAAATCACTCGTGCGAAGCCAGTGTAGATCGGTAGTTATAAATAAATGTAAATAATAATCACTTATTAATAAGGGAAGTAATGAAAAAATGTATCTCGCCTATTCACCAATCTATCTTTAATGATCATATTCTTATAAAGTTATTTACATAATATTTTTTTAATTTATAAGACACATTGCAATCAATGCAATTTAACATCAAATGTTTAAGTGTCATACTTGGAAAAAGTTCTGCCCAGAGAAAGCTCCTTGTTGCTGAGTTGATTGGTTCTGCCGCAACTGCCTCTCCAATTCTTCCACTGTGCACACATTTTTCAGCGGTGGTGCAGGCTGCTGCTGTATATGGTAAAAGACATAAACAATTTAAACAAATTTAATGTACAGCGTATAACCCATCACTTCTCGAGTATAAGCCTCATTTAATTTCTGGGAAGGATACAAAGCAGACAGTCCACTGCACTGCTCCAGTCCATGTTCAATTCATACATTCATTACAGCTTATCAAAAGTCCACTGCTGAACATAAGCCTTCCCACGGAGCAAATACAAAGAGGAGACGGCCTAAGCAACTGTTCACTGTGATTCTACCTAGGTCCTTACGTCATCAGTGGGCATGGCTTTACTTAGTATACTGTCAGCATTCGTCCTGTGCGGTTATGTGTTGAAAATCGCAAATCGGTGTATTTTCGTAGTACTAAGAAGAAAAGGATGAAGTGTTGTGTTTTATCGTGTAAAAACTACTCAGATAGACGCTCTGCATCTGCATCACATTTCATTTGTAAGTAATTTTATACCTAATTTATTTAAAAGGTCCTAGAAAAGTCTCTGTGTCGGCTTTCAAATGTAATTAAATATATTCGACTATTCGACACTAGATGGCGACACTTTCTGTCATGGAACTAAAAATATAAAGATACGTACAGTTCAGTATTAGTAAAATAATCATACGAATGTGTTAAAATTGGTTTTGCATTCAGTACTAAAGAATTTTTAATCGCCAAAATATTATTTTTATAGTTTTATAATCATTTTGTGAACAGGCCGCCATCTATCTTCAAGTTAGCTAAACTACTTTGCAACGTCGATATGGAACGATGCGAGTAGTTTTACTATTTATCGGTAGATGAAAAATAGTAATGTGGGCGGGGCTTAACATCCCCTAACCCCGCAAATTGTCACGCGTGAAATTGTGAAATCTAATTACAGCACCTTCTCTTTGTATTTGCTCCGTGGGCCTTCCCCATAAATTACCTCATAAGAGGGTCTTTACAGCTGTCACTATTGCCATTATTGTTGCCACTTGCCATGCTTAGTAGGCGTGTTGGCAACTGCAGTTTTTTTATAATATTTGGATTTATTTTTGTTCTACAATCATTTAACCGACATTTACCGCTATTAGCGTATGTCAGTGCCATTATACATCACTAATTCAATTCCCCTGGTGTTGCGGTTGTTGGGCGGCGGTAGTCACTTACCATCAGGTGAGCCGCATGCTCGTTTGCCCTCTCTCCTATAAAAAAATTCATATAACGTTAATTATTATACAATTTTTTGGTTGTAATGCCTCTTACGACACCCACAGGATGATACAGGGTAAATGAGATTCTCTCACCGTAATCATCCCCGAAATATTATATTTCTCGGGCATGCAGGTTAACAGTACAAAATTACATCAAAACAAATCAGGAAAAATAAGGAACCATAAAAAATCTATATCCCATTTTTTCCTTAATGTTTGTTTGTCTTCACCATACTGTGTAGTGGCAGTGTAAAAAAATCCACAGCCCCATATCACCCTGAGAGAGTCGTAAAAGACGACAGAAGGAAACAAGAAAATGAGCAGCTGCATCTTCCTAGTAACGACTTAAAATAAAAACTGTGGTTGCCAACCCGTGCCAACTATGGCAAAAATCCTCCAATGACGCAATCTATGGGGAAGGCCTATGTTCAGTAATGAATGGATGAAAACAACCAAAAACAATTTTTTATAGTGTAAGGGTGACAAACGAGCACACAGTCCACCTGATGGTAAGTGGTTGCTGTGGCCATCTGCATCTATCCTCGATTACAAATCAAAATGCAGATACGTTGTCACCCGTGAGGACTGAGATGGAATGCCTCGTTTCCAGTAAATAGGGTCTCAGATTCTCTACACTCACCATACGAAACACAGCAGCGTTAAGCTTCTATTTTATGCTGGTATTCTGTGAGAGTGCTCCTACCCCGATCGAGCCGACCCATTCGTCCTAAAACTATACTGCTAATATAGCTCTGGCAGCATGGCTCTACCACATTAGAAACTGCAGCTGCCAACCCCCTATGAGGCATGTAATGGTAATGGTTTATCTTCAAGTAAATGTTTTGATAAACTAGTGACGTCCAGCAGAAAAAATAGATTCATACATACAAAAGTAAGCTTTTACACCTGTTACCCAGAGTAGCAGACAAGAACTACAGACTTCCATATGACACAATCCTGACACATCTTTCGCTTCATTCTCATCCATATATGCATATAAAATTAATTAATCTCTATTCACTTACTGTAGGTGCTGTTGGAAAGGAGAGATCGTGGCGCCAGACATTTGAGTTAAATGACTGTCGCGACTGCGGTGCGTCAGTTTCATCCAACACAAGCTTGGAGAGGGAAGCTTCTGTAATATAAATAATATTAGTTTAATAACTTAGTCTAGGCAAGTCACCACTGCTTTTAGTTGCCAGTCTGTGTATTATACGTTTAATGTAAACGAAATGAGTATACTGCTATCTATCAGAAACAATGAAATCTTTTTGCCACATCCCTTTTCTCTCCATGCCACAACAAGACAATTCAGTATGTTTCTGCAGTAATTAATACACCTGCCGAGCATGGAAATTAAGGCAAATCCCTATAACAGGAGCAATAGACTTTCACAAGTTGGTTTTCACTTGGTAGCGCCACGCTGCAGCTATATTATGGTTGTAGCACGAATGGGCCATGCTCTCGCAGAATACCGGCGTAAAATAGCGGCCTAATGGTGCTGTGTTTCGTATGATGAGTGTAGAGAACCGGAGATCCTTTTTACTGGAAACGAGGCATTCCATATTAGTCCTCAGGGGTGTCAATTCTTATTAGAGGATAGAAGATGTAGATATTGTCCACCTTATCATGCATTTACCATCAGGTGGACAGCATGGTCATTTGTCACCCATATTCTATTAAAAAAAGCTGATGTTGAAGGTGCAGAAGGCAAGTCATCAATAGTATTACCACATTTTATACAAACGTTACATTTATATCATCATTACAGCCCTTCACAAGTCCACTGCTGAACATAGGCTTCCCCCAAAGAATGCCACAAAGCACGGTCCTGAGCCATCTGCATCCATCGACTTCCTGCATGTCTTACCAGGTCGTCACTCCATCTCGTGGGGGGACGCCCTACACTTCGCCTACCGGTACGAGGCTGCCACTCGAGAACCTTTCTTCCCCATCGGTTGTCGGTTCTTCGAGCTATATGGCCGGCCCACTGCCACTTCAGCTTACTAATCCGTTGGGCTATGTCGGTTACTCTGGTTCTACTGCGGATATCCTCATTCCTAAGTTTATCACGCAGAGAAACTCCGAGCATAGCCCTCTCCATAGCTCGCTGAGCGACCTTGAGCTTCCTCATACGGCCAGCAGTGAAGGACCACGTCTCAGTTCCATAAGTCATCACTGGCAACACGCACTGGTTGTACAATTTCGTTTTCAGGTTTTGAGGTATGTCTGACGAGAAGATGTGTCGTAGCTTCCCGAACGCTGCCCAGCCGAGTTGAATCCGTCGATTGACCTCTCGGTCGAAGTTGGACTTACCTAGTCGGACTATTTGTCCCAGGTAAACATAATCGTCAACAACTTCGAGCTTAGTGCTCCCAACAACTACCGGCATAGGTGTGACATGGACATTGAACATGATCTTTGTTTTGTCCATGTTCATCTTAAGACCTATCCGTTGGGAAACACTATCGAGGTCATTGAGCATAGTGCTTAGGTCCTCCAGCGATTCTGCCATAAGGACTATATCGTCGGCAAATCGAAGGTGAGTGATGTACTCGCCATTGATGTTGATACCGTATCCTTTCCAGTCCAGAAGCTTGAAAACGTCTTCCAATGCCGCGGTGAAGAGTTTCGGGGATATGACGTCACCCTGTCTTACACCTCTCTGCAATTGGATAGGTTTCGTACTCTGGTTCTGTACTCGGATAGCCATCGTAGCCCTACTGTACAAGCACTTCAACACTTCGATATACCGACAGTCAACTTGGCACCGCTGAAGGGACTGCAGCACCGCCCAAATTTCGACGGAATCAAAGGCTTTCTCATAGTCCACATACGCCAGACATAGTGGCAAATTGTACTCTTCGGACTTCTGTACAATTTGCCGAAGGGTATGTATGTGGTCTATGGTGCTAAAGCCCTTTCGGAAACCGGCTTGTTCGGGAGGCTGGAAGTCGTCAAGTCTGCGCGCGAGACGATTCGTAATGACTCTCGAAAACAGCACGTAGACGCGGCTCAGAAGGGAAATCGGTCTGTAGTTCTTCAAGAGAGCGTTGTCACCTTTCTTGAAGAACAAGACCATCGCACTTCTGCTCCACGCCTCCGGTGTAATGCCACCATGGAGGACGGAATTAAAGAGCTTCTGAAGGACTTCAAGTACCGGTCTTCCACCCGCTTTCAGAAGCTCCGCCGTAATTCCATCCTCGCCTGGGGCCTTACCGTTTTTAAGGTGCTGGAGAGCCATTCTAATCTCGCTCAGACTGACGTCCGGGATATCTTCGGAATAGTGTCGGATGAGACTCGCTCTTGGATCGTTACTCACACTTGCGTGTGGCTCCAACGATGACGTGTACAGCTGCCCATAGAACCTCTCAATCTCACTCAAAATCTCAGGTGTCCCGGAAACGATGCTGCCACATTCTGTCTTCAGCTTTGACAGGTGGCTCTTTCTGGCAGACAGATCTCTGGCAAAGACTTTGGAGCCTTGGTTCCGCTCGATCGCTTCTTCAATACGAGCTGTATTGAAGTTGCGTAAGTCCCGCCGCATGCATTTGGAGATCTGTCTGTTCAGATGCCTGTATGCTGTCAAGTCTGTTGAAGAATGTAGCTTCATCTCCCGTCTAACAGCCATGAGATTAAGAGTGTGATCGGAGTTTTTGTGTTCTTCTACGGCGGGTCTTGCAGAACTTAGCTCCGACCGCATGGACAGTTTCCACGAGCTTGTCATTCATATCGTCCACTTCTTTGCAGTCTTCTATGCACTGAAAACGGTTTTGTAACTCGAGCTGAAAGGTTTCGGGACTTTGGAACAGAGCACGAGGGGGACGGAGCGTTGACTTCATTAGACGAGACCTCTCCAACTTAACGTTTAGGTTCAGTGTGCCTCTAACCATTCGGTGATCGCTACCAGTTTTCACCCTCGCGATCACGGAGACATCACTGAACAGTTGTCGTCTGGTCGTCATAATGAAGTCAATCTCATTTTTTGTCGAACCGTCGGGGCTCGACCAGGTCCACTTCCTGTGGGGCCGCTTCTGGAAGAAAGAGTTCATCATATAGAGTCCTTCTTTCTCCATGAAGTCGGCCAGCTGCTGGCCCCTTGGGTTCCGTTGCCCTATTCCAAATTTCCCTACTTTCAGCTCACCGTTCTCTCTTGTGCCTAGTTTTGCATTAAAGTCTCCCATTAACACCGTATATTGGGTTTTGGAGGAATGCATGGCTTTAGAGATATCCTCATACATTTCCTCCACCTCCCCATCGGGGTGTGCCGAGGTTGGTGCGTAAACCTGTATGACCTTCAGCGAATACCGTTTGGTGATTCTGAGTATAAGGTACGCAACCCTCGTCGACACACTCCCGATCTTTACAATGTTGTTAACGAGAGACTTGTGGACGATAAATCCGACACCTCCTTGGGACAGATGGTCGCCCTCCCGGTGATAGAGCAAGTTGCCGGATTCGAGGATTACCGTGTCCTCCCCCTCTCTTCGGACTTCGGATAATCCTATAATATGCCAGCGCAACTTGTCTATCTCTTCTTCCAGCTCCACGATCTTCTCGTCAGTCCTCAGGGTGCGTGCGTTGTACGTTGCCAGGTCGAGTCGTCTAAGGTGGCAACCGAACCTCCACCGGAGATTCTTAGCACCCCCTGCCCCGCCTATACCATGGTCGCCACCGTAGCCAGGAATAGCGGGGCCGCCGGGGACTGGGGGCCGTCTCTTTGTTACATTCATAGGGGGGTATTTGCCATAGTTGCCACGCTTGGCGAGCGGGTTGGCAACCGCAGTTTTTTTTATTATAATTTTGGCTATTATCAGGAAGATGCTGCTGCCCATCTCCTGCCTGTTTCCCTTTGTCGCCTTTTACGACACCCACGGGAGGATATGGGGTAGTGGTATTCTTGACCGCCACTACACGGTAATAATATCCTGATTGTCAAGGTTAATTGACCTTATCAATTAGGACGCGCGCAAGAAATGGTGTTACTAAATAACCCGATCCTACCACCACCACTTCGATGGTACAAATGCAGTAATTATTTATATTATTATTAGTCATTGTTAGTTAAAAAAAATACAACAATCAAATTCACTGACCAAGCTGCGAGTTGGCTTCGTCGATGGCGCTATGATTGCGCCGACTACTCTCTAGCTGTTCAGCAAGCTGCTCGTGCTCCACTTCCCAGTCCAACTCGTCCGCTGTGTACAAAAACATAAGCATATCTTAATAATGTTTTATAATATGTAAAAATACTAAACTACAACACATCTTCTCGTTAGACATACCTCAAAACCTGAAAACGAAATTGTACAACCAATGCATGTTGCCAGTGATGACTTACGAATCTGAGACGTGGTCCTTCACTGCTGGCTGTATGAGGAAGCTGAAGGTTGCTCAGCAAGCTATGGAGAGGGCTATGCTCGAGGTTTCTCTGCGTGATAAACTTAGAAATGAAGATATCTGCAGTAGAACCAGAGTAACCGACATAGCTCAACGGATTAGTAACCTGAAGTGGCAATGGGCCGGCCATATAGCTAGAAGAACCGACAACCGATGTGGAAGAAAGGTTCTCGAGTGGCAGCCTCGTACCGGTAGGCAAAGTGAAGGGTGACCCCCCACTAGATGCAGTGACGACCTGGTAAGATATGCAGGAAGTCGATGGATGCAGGTGGTTTAGGACCGTGCTTTGTGGCATTCCTTGGGAAGGCATAGATTCAGCAGTGGACTTATGAAAGGCTGTGAATGATGATGTAAAAATATGGACCGACAACAGATATAGAAGAAAGGTTCTGGAGTGGTAGCCTTACTTATACCTACTTAATGGAGTGAAGACCTGGTAGAAGATCCATGAATGCCAGTGGCTCAGGACTGTGCTTTGTGACATGCCTTGAGAGGAAGTTATGTTCAGAAATTGACTTATGATGGTTGCGATGGCGATGATGATGATGATGATGATGATGGTGGTGGTGGTGGTGGTGGTGTTGTTGGTATTGATGGTGGTAGTGGTGATGGTTAATTGAATGTGTAATGTAAATTTGTATATTTATCGCTCAATCACACCCAAAAGTGTAGAATCAACATCTCAACATGGTAGAGCTATGCTGCAGCTATATTAATTGTATAGTTGTAGCACAATTGGGCTAGCTTGACTGGGAAGAACCAGGCTCGCACAGAATACCAGTGTAAAATAGCAGCTTAATGCTGCTGTGTTTTATATGATGAGTGTAGAGAACCGGATACCCTTTTTACTGGAAAAGAGGCATTCTATGTTAGTCCTCACGGCTGACAACACATCTACATATTAATTCGGAAACAAAGATAGATGTAAATGTCTATCGGTGACCCTTATCCTATAAATGGCTGAACAATGTTATTTGAATATTAAAAAATAGATGATGTCAGTTAAAGAAAGCCTTTTGATTCAGTGTTAAGCAAAGAGTTTTTCTATTCTCCACACCTTTCTAGCAAACGCCCAAGCAAAAGCTAGTCAACTATATTACCCACATGAAAGATAAATACAAAAATTTGTTTGCCTCAACTTATAATGTCCGCCTGTCATACAAATATATTGTATAGCTCTTATATTGTTTGCGTCCGTCTACCCTTACGTGTCAAACAACAAGGGAAAGACCACACTCTAAAATATTCATTGCAGCATATCTAAGTCCACTGCTGAACATATATAGCCATTGTCGTGTTTAGCAGACATGTTGGTCATCCATAGTTTTTATCGATTTTTGAGTTTTGAAATAGGAAAATGCTGCTGACTGTTTCGGTTTCCCTCTGTCGCATCTTACAATATGAGGTAGTGAATTCTCTAACACCGCCATTACACTGATCTCTGTCGTTTTTCGTGTGGTCAGTGACGAGAGCCAGAAACTGATTTACCGGTAAGAAGTCATTCCATCTTACACCTAAGGAATGACAACGCATCTGCATTTTGATTCTTAATCGAGCAATATAGGTATCAAAGAGCCACAGCATCCAGTTACTATTAGCTGAAGATTTAAATTCTTAAATAATTTATGAAGGTCGAACTGTATTAAAAATTGTCACAGCTCATCAATAGTCTATTTAAGGAAATCCCATCAAAGGACATAGACAATAATTAAATAATTTAATTTGTAAAAGGAAAATGTGGAATAGACTTACAGTCTTGTCCAAACGTCTCGTCGTTGAGAGCGTCATACTCGTCCTCTGATGGTCCTCCACCACCTTCATCATCATTTAGGTTCTGAAAAGATATATACCTATAAATATTATATACATAGTACAATATTTATATGGTACCACCCCTTAGGTACCCCCTTTCTGACAAGGAATTTTAGATTTTAAACATTTGTAAATAATTATTACAGAATAGAATAGAATCATTTTTATTCAATATAGGTTACAGTAATACTTATTGAAAGTTATTTTATACTTTTATCACTGGTTTGCAAAAAAATCTCTGTCCTGGGAAGAACCAGCAAGAAACCCGGCGGGACTTTTTTTTAAATGACAATTTACAATATAATATTTTATACAATTGTTATGAAAACTTTAACATTTTTCTAGGTTCATATCTATTCATATATTTTATTTTGATACAAAAGATAATTTGGAAAACCGAAAGCAGTTTTAGCAAAATAATTCTGCAAATTCCAAATACCATAAGAAGTTACATAAATTTATAAAAACTTAACAAACAGCATTATTTATTTTCGATTTTATTTCTTGGTGACAAATTAATACGTTTTTATATCTCGTCAGTACCTATCGAAAACAATCTCAAAACATTAGTAGTGTTTTTTTTTTCTAAAATCAGCTGTGCCTGCAACTTCGGTAGCAAATTATCTTTTTTAGATTGATTTAAAAAACTAAACAAATTGCTAATTTACTTGATTTGAAGTACTATCCTTATTTCCAACTTAAATAGTATTGGCATAGATATGTTTATAAAGTGTAATTTCATCATAAAAATCAATAAAATGCATAGATAACTATAACACCAAGAGCTCTGTACACATATGTAGTAACATAAATTATGCACTCAGAAAATACGAAAAAGGGATTAAGGGTTCAGTAGGTAAGAGCAATTAGGCATGATCTTCAGACATTAGTTCCTTTATCGTATTTGCTGAGTTCTGAGATAGTTGAGTGACTCATTGTTAGTATATATACCAAGTTTCAGCCTAATCGGGCCATTAGCTTTTGAGTTATCAATGAGTAAATAAGTCAATCGGAAGAAACTAGCCACTATGGAGAAAATTGAATATCGCGCCGTCATTAAGTTTCTCACCAAACAAGGAAAGACACCTCAAACCATTTTTCAAGAGATGTCAGTCAGCTGTTTATGATGACTCCTCTTCTGGGAAAACCATGAGTTATAAATGGCACACCCTTTTCAAACAAGGGAAGGACTCCATTGAAGACGACCCCCGACCTGGACGGCCGATTGAGGCTACCACGCCAGAAATAATCGAAAAAATTGAAAAACTTATATCGGAAGATGCCCGGCTAAAGAAAAAAACAGCTAAAATAATAACCATTTTAAACATCCTATATCAACACCTAGGCATGACTAAAGTCTGTGCAAGATGCATTCCGAGAATGCTTTCTGCGCATCAAAAACACGAGCGCGTTGAAAGTTGTCGCGAGCTTTTGGACCGCTGTGGAGAGCAAAGGGAGAAAGTTATGGTCCGAATTGTCCATAACTTCCTCCTAACTGGCGATGAAACTTGGGTTCACCATTATGAACCTGAGTCAAAGCAAGAGTCGATGCAGTGACATAAAAAAGGCACACCCCCTCCTAAGAAGTATAAGGTTTCTCAATCAGCCGGAAAGATCATGGCGACGATCTTTTGGGATACAGAAGGTATCCTTTTGATTGATTATAAGGAACGTGGTGTTTCCATAACGGGAGAATACTACGCTTCTTTACTAGATCAATTAAAAGAAGCTATTAAAGAAAAAAGGCGAGGAAAGTTTACAAAAGGCGTGCTCCTTTTGCACGACAATGCGCCCGTGCACACAAGCCATGTTACGACGGCTGCCATTCACCGGTGCCGTTTTGAACAACTGCGCCACCCACCCTACAGCCTAGACCTGGCCCCAAGCGACTATTATTTGTTTCCAAAAATGAAGAAACAACTGCGTGGAAAAAATTTTTGCGACGGTGATGAAGTGAAGTCGGCAATTTCGGCCTATTTTGACAAATCTTTTTTTTAGACGGTATAAGTTATTTGACAGATCTTATATATGTATTAGGGTTAAGGGAGAATACATTGAAAAGGAAAAATGTTTCATTTCATTATCCTTCCTTGTCATTCCGAGAACTTTTTGACCTCCCTTCGTAGTATTATTTGCTGACGACACTTCTTTAATTTTCAAATTAAGTCGACAATTACTAAAATATGACTAAGTAAATAATGCTATTATCTAAATTAGTAAATTGGTTCCATGTTAATAATTTACATTTAAATGGCACTAAAATGAAATGTATGAAATTCATGACTCCAAATGTCAAACAATACTAATGTAATTTTAAATAGGGAGAAACTCAGTTTTATCGATACCACCATTTTTCTTGGAATCACACTAGACGCGAAGCTTCAATGGAGCCACCATTATCAAAACTAGCAGGCAGACTTAGTTCTGCAGCATATGCTGTGAAAAAGATTAGAAATCTTACCAGTGTTGAAACTGCTAAACTAGTTTACTTTAGCTATTTCCATAGCATAATAGCGTATGGTATTTTGCTATGAGGACTCACAGCTGACAGTGAAATTATATTTGTTTTACAGAAGAGCAATTTATGATATAAAGCCTAAAGAGTCTCTACGACAAAAATTTAAGGAGATTAATATATTAACTTTGGCCTGTCAATACATTTATGAAAATTTAATGTACTTACACAAAAATAAAAGTATTCATTCTGTAAATACTAGGAACAGACACAAGCTAGCCTACTAGTTACTCAACTCCACCAAGTCAGAAATGTATTCTTGAGGTGATGTATACGCTTATACGAGTACAACAAAATTCCAGAAAATATACAAAATTTGACCTGCTCAAAGTTTAAAAACTTTATGAAACTAAGTTTGTATAAAAAGGGTTATTACAATATTAAGTAATTTATGAATGATAATAACCCCTGGGAATGAGGTGATCGCTACTAATGTATTTCTTATTTGTTTTGTGTTGTTATTTGTGTAACATACATGATTGTAAACTGTTATCTTTTTTTAAAAGTCCCACTGGGTTTCTCGCTAATTCTTCCCAGGACAGAGGTTTATTTTTCAAAACAGTGGTAATTAAGCAAGAGTGCTTTGAATAAGTATTATTTATAATCTATATTGAATAAAATAAGTTTCTGTTTTTAGTGGCCTTTCATAATCTTGCATTTTCAACTGACATCAAACAACGGAGGTTCTCAATTTGTATGTAATTTTTTTTATAAGGTTTTTATCTGAGGTAACACCTCAGAACTTTTTACTAGGTAAACTGATTTTAATTATTCTTTTTTTATTTGAAAGCTGATGGTTCTCAGGTGGTCCCATATTTTGATCAAGATGTGACCAGTAGTTTTGAGTTATCCTTAATAATGCATATTTAATTTACTTTGATTACATTGATGACATTCTCATTTTGTTTATATTGAAGTCGGTTGTACAAAAATATGTACGTACATATTTACCCCCCCCCCCCCTGAAGTATAAAATATTTCATAATAAAAGAATTTTTGAAATCGATTCACAAGTGACGAAGATATCATACTCTTATAGGATACATACAAAAAAAATTAAGAAACACTTGAATTGAGAACCTCATCTTTTTTAAGTTGACTAAAAAGATCAATCGACATCTATTTTGTTTCTTCCTTTACTTGTTACTTCTTTCAATAATGCTTCTCTTATACAATATTGTATGTTCAGTTATTGGGGATTAATGCAGAAGTTTAGACAACAATGCCAACCAAAAAACAATATAAACACTAAAAATGAAAGTTCTTACTTTCAAAGAAAAATGGCTCCATCATTTGGCCAATGACTTTCTGCAAATGCCAAGGTTGAGAAATACAAGGGGATATTATCAAAAAAAATTGTTGAAATAAAACTGAAAGTTACTTAAGAAACTTTATTAAGGCCCTTTTTACTGGAAATGAGGCATTCCATCTTAGTCCTCACGGGTGACAACGCATCTACATTTTGATTTGTAACAGAGGATAGATGTAGATGTCTATGGGCCGCAGCAACCACTTACCATCAGGTGGACTGTGTGCTCGTTTGTCACCCTTATCCTATAAAAAAAATACTGACTGACAGGTATTGACAATTGTCTATGTTCTTTCTCTTCTTATTCTTCTTAATGCACTACATGGTAATCGAAGTTCTCTCTATAGCTTCTTTTTAACAAGGATTTCGTAAGGATATTACATTATACCTAATTTTTTCAATTGTACCATGTACACTATTTCCACATACATACATCTAAAGCCCGCTTTTCACTATGGGATATAATGAAATACGAGGGGTGATCCAAAAGTAATGATAATCGGTTACTTAGGGTCCACATAAAAATCAAAAAAAATTTTTTTTGCTTGCTACGTCAGCCTAAAAAATCATATAAATAGATCACGATTTCCGGGAGATACATTCATTTGAATACGTACTGTCAAAGAGATAACATCAACATGGAGAAAAACGAAATTAGAGCTGTCATCAAGCACCTCTGTTTGAAAAAAATGTCTTCAAAAGACATACACAGTGACTTAGTGGAAACATTGGGGGACTCTGCTCCTCCATATTCTACAGTTGCACGCTGGGCTAAGGAGTTTAAACTGGGCAGAACATCCACTGAAGATGAACATCGCGAAGGACGCCCATCCACGTCCCTCACTGAAGACAACGTGAAAAAAGTCGAAGATGTTGTGTTGGCAGATCGAAGAGTGACCATCAGGCATGTAGCTGAGATCACAGGGATCTCATATGGCAGCGTTCAAAGAATCCTTGCGAACGAGTTGCTTATGAAAAAGGTCTCTGTGCGTTGGGTACCCAGAATGTTAACCGACGAGCAAAAGAAAATCTCGAAAAGCTCCAAGCAGATCAAGAAAATTTTTTGTTCCGTTTTGTGACTATGAACGAGACCTGGATCCACCATTTTGATCCTAAAGAAAACAACAATCAATGACTTGGAAGCGAGCCTCCTCACCGACTCCAAAGAAATTCAAGTTTCAAGTTCAGCGGGAAAGGTTATGGCATCTGTTTTTTGGGACGCTCAAGGCATAATTATGGTGGAATATTTGGAAAAGGGAGCCACTATTACGGGCTCTTACTACGCAGACCAAATAAGAAGATTACGGGAGGCCATTAAGGAAAAAAGACGCGGCAAACTGCGAGCTGGAGTGCTGTATCACCAAGACAACGCACCGGCTCACAAAGCCGCAGTTGCGATGGCTGCCATTCAAGAAACGGGATTCGAACTGCTCGAACACCCTCCTTATTCGCCAGATCTAGCTCCTGGTGATTTCTACCTCTTTCCTCGGCTCAAGGAACGCCTCCGAGGCAAGAAATTCGAAGACGATAGCAAAGTAATGGCCACTGTTGAAGCGTTTTGGGATGGTCAAGACAAAGAATTTTTTTCAAAGGGAATCCTGGGTTTAGAAAAAAGATGGACTAAATTTATTGATTTGTTAGGAGACTATGTAGAAAAATAAATTATTATTTTAACTTTAATTACCGTGTTTTATTTTCATTATCATTACTTTTGGATCACCCCTCGTATATATATTATATCCCGAGATATAAATTAATATCGCTCGCCGTACCTTTTAATGGAACCGTTTACACTGCGATGTAATATATATAAATATTTTTTCGATCGACCAAGCGATATTTTCATATTATATTTCGCCCCCTGTACCTCGCACACCATTCCACGCCACCACAGTACGGTGTGCGGGGTACATGGAGTAAACCAATTACAAACGCACACTGTTTAAAAGATATATCTCACAGTGTGAAAGCCAACCGCTGGATATAATTTATATCCCTAGATATATTTCACTATGGGATATATATATATTATATCACATAGTGAAAAGCGAGCTTAATTGTTTAGTCAGCACACACAGATAAAGCAGCCGAGCAGAGGTTTTTCTTCTAACTTGCACATATGTCACATTGAGCACCCACAATAGGCACTTTAAAATGAACATATTTATTTTTCAACTAATTTCAGCTAAACAGATAGTAAATGTTAGCCCAAATTTATCTCAATAAATCACTGAAAACAAAATCCGAATTTGTTTAGTCATTGTGGAGATTAACTTGCACAAATGTACATACAACAATACATTGTCATTCGATTTTGACCTATGTTTAAAATTTCTACTCTCTAGCTAATCGGGAAGTTAGTTTAAAATCAATAATAAAATTTGACCCTTACAAACATACATGAAAATGATTAAATAAAAACGTGGTTAAAAGCACTTGAAGTCACAAGGTGACTTTATTTTTGCCCGAGTGCCTGAGTGATGATGATTTTGTAAAATGAGCAGAAATGCATTTCGATGACTGTCTGTGACAAAATTAGTGTTTCTAGTCTAAAAAATACAGTAAATGATTAAATATTATAGCAGACTAAAAAATAAAAATATGGTAAACCTTTCCATTACCTTTACAGCCTATTAAAGTCTACAGCTGAACATATTTCATCCTTCCTCATTATTTTTAGTTATTATTAAGAAGACGCTGCTACCCATCTCCTGATTATTTCCCTCTGTCGCTTCTTACGACAGCCACGGGATGATATGGGGTAGTGGATATACTTACACCGCCACCATATGTAGTTTTAGTAAAGCAAAATTCCTAATCAAACTAAATAGTCTGTATTATTAATACTCATACCATCATTTATGTACGGTTTCAATTAAACATGATTTAAGTTAAATGTCCATTACTTATCAGCTAGTTATCTGTTCTTCATACATAGCAAATAAAATTTTTAATCATCTCTTATGTGGGATAGAAGTCAATGCAGTGTTGGCCACTGCTTTTGATAATTTGCTGTATAAACACTAAGCAGATATAATTTCTGTAATTAAAAGCTGTAAAAGCCAAATAGGCTCACAGCACTGACATCACAGAATAAACATTACATTATTGTCAGATAAAGATAATATTATGAAACTTTTGTAGGGTATTTTGTACCGTCATTATAGAAAGAAGTATTAAGTTAAGGCCCTATTCAAAGAGACGAAATTACAGTAGAATATGGTAATTTAATAATATGTCTATGGTAAGTGGTAGATCTACCATAATACAGTGAGTCTACCGTAATTACGGCGAGTTTGGAGACAATGATGACTGTCTAATGAATTCTAAATAGGTATTTTTTTAATACAGCGAACAATTTTTCAAGAACAGATTGTGACAAGACCATAACTTCGACTGCAACTTAATGATAATGCTTCAGTTAGACATAGTTTTCTGGGTCTACTTTTTGGGGTTAAGTACCGTATCTTCCATTTTTTGTATTAATGAATGGGTATAATATAAACAAGTTATCATGTCCGTACATACAATTTTATAAACTACGTGTTCAACATTTTCTTTTTTAAATGCATATGGTATACTTAATTTCAGAGCACATATAAGCCAATTCACATCTTATACCATTAAGATCATAAACACAACACAACAAAATTATGAAAAAATAACTATGAAAGGAAAAGTGTGATGTACACTTAACATGTTGGCACTGAAATCGTCGGTACAACAGAATGAAATGGGCATTGTTTGTTAATATAAATATTTTAAAACACGATAACTAATCAAAACTTACCGGAAACGAAGTATCGAACCCGAAAAAAGAATTTGCCATTGGATTTTTTCATATATCTCAGACAATAATGACATGACTTGTCACGCTACATATGTCGCAACAGCTAAGGCGCCATGGCGGTAGACATCATTCCATTCGTTCCACAAACTACAGATTACTGTATACCAGTCTACTACCACAAACTATAGAAGTGCTAGCACACATTCGTTCCTTCGATCATTCGGATACTCGTACTCGTATCATACGCAAAGGTCTTAGTCTTAGCTTCATATTATAGTTTGCTTTAAACTATAGACTTAGAATTGCTTAGAATAGACCTGACAGCCCGAATACACGTGACAAATTTTGATTTGTTAATTTGTTATTGTGTGCTACTGATGTATTTTTACCTATAACTGTCGTTAAATGATTGCAGTGCGACTACAATACTGCTACTGGTAGTGCTAAGGGAGCTGTCATGGATAGTCTCTCCTGGGATTTTTTTAAAGAATAGGAGGCAAACGAGCATGTGGCCCACCCGATGGCTTCACCCATGGCAACAACTGCAACACCAGAGGAATTACAGGTGAGTTGCCGGCCTTCTAAAAAGGAGTAAGCTCGTGTCTAAAAGGTTCCTAAGTCGTATCGGTCTGGAAAATTGGATATTTTTTTTGCAAGGACCCCTAAAATATAAGTAGCCCGAAGTTACGCCTTATAACATCAGCTATCCGCCAGTGAAAATCCCATCCAAATCGGTTCACAGGTTTTTGCGTAATGCGTGTTCACACAGATGACGTGTTAGAGTTTTATTATAGTAATAGATATATAGATAGATGATAGATTATATTATGGCCAATTTACACAATATCTTTATGAATTATAGCAGTTATTCTGATGTATGAGCTATATAATGATAATACGATTATAGTTTTTGCATGAAAGAGTAACAAACATCCACACAAACTTTCACGTTTATAATATTAGTAGGATTTAGAAAATAATGATAAATTAATTTTAACCTGAAACGTCCTGAGAATTAACTTTTAATATCTTAAATTATCGGAATTATTACCATAATTTAAGATATTACAGAATAATTCTAACCAACCATTGTTGAAGACAATTGTATTTAGTAAAAATAATCACGATTGAAATTAAAAAAATTCAAAATACTGAGCAACTCATTCCTTGCGTGCCGACTTCTCACTCAAAATCAGTCACAGCACAGTTACTATATTTTCTATCCTTGTCTATTTTGCAATATAGGGTATTTTACACCATGTAAAATAATCAAAAAACATATTTTTATGATAGATTTTGTAAAAACTAAACGAGAAATATTGATTTATTTTTATAAAAATGCATTATAATTTAAATAAAACTAATTTTACGGATTTTATCGCGTATATTAACTTATTTTATATTCCTGACGTTTCGGGTGCTTTCCAGAACCCGTGGTCACAGGGGACTGAGGTGTTTGACGTCCTGATGTCATAGTTAGCCCGGCTGCCTTTAGTTTTTTAATATTAATTTTTGGTTCAATTTACGCAGAATGAGCTTAACCACAAATCCTCGCAAAAGAACACCATTTCCTCCCAAGGATGATTCGCGAGGCTATTGAAATTAAAAAAAACATCCTAATTTCAATAAAGAAGATGGTTGGGTGCTGCCATCTGCTTGGGATCCCATAATTAATAAAATCAAATCCAAACCCAAGTATACCACTGCTAGACTTCAAGATACTGTAAGCTCATTCTGCGTAAATCGAATCAAAAATTAATATTAAAAAACTAAAGGTAGCCGGGCTAACTATGACATCAGGACTTCAAACACTTCAGTCCCCCGTGACCACGGGTGCTGGAAAGCACCCGAAACGTCGGGAATCTAAAATAAGTTAATATACGCGATAAAATCCGTAAAATTAGTTTTATTTAAATGTGTAGTTTTCGCGTAAATATAAGAAATCATAATGTATTATAAATTTTATATTTCAATTTTAAGAATAATTTTTTATCTGTTGCTCAAATCTGCAAAACGCTGTCCATCATATTAAATACCGTCGTGACGTCACTGGTTAAGAGAACTAGCTAATAGCATATTATGTGTTATTTCGATAATAATATAACTTCCACGGGGTTTTTATGCTCGTATTTTTGCAATTTAGGCACAAAACAACAGTGATATAGACGATAACTTATTATTAAACGTCCAAAAGTATCTTATTCCTTTCCAAAATGGAAACCTGGACAAACAAAGCTGAAAAATAATATTGATGAAAAACGCGCAGCACTCGGTATATTTATCGATCTGAAAAAGGCATTTGATACGATTAGTCATAGCCTGCTTCTCCAAAAACTACATGATATCGGCGTTCGGGAAACAGCCCACGATATGTTTCGGTCGTATCTCTCTAACAGACAGCAAATTGTCAGGATTGGTGACACACAAAGTACTCACGAATCTTTAACTTACGGCGTACCACAAGGCTCTATTCTTGGCCCCTTACTGTTCATAATATACGTAAACGATATGCATAACCTTAACCTAACAGGTGACATATTACTATATGCTGACGACACTAGCTTATTTTTATTTGGCAATGACATTGAGCAGATAATTAAACAAGCTCAGCAAGATTTGGACACTCTCTCTAGATGGTTCCAAGACAATTTGCTTACTGTTAATATATCTAAAACTAATTACATTATATTCAGTGCTAGGAATAAAAAAACCGAAAATCACTCATCTCTATGCATAAATAACGAACCCTTAACCAAAGCTAGTTCAGAAAAGTATCTTGGACTCCACCTAGATAAACATCTAACGTGGCAGCCGCACCTCGATAAATTAAGATCTAAGCTATCTTCTATCATGGGTGCGCTTCGAGGTAATATTCGCTGTCTCCCAAAATCAGTGAGATTTATTATATACAACTCTATGGTAAAACCTCATCTAGACTACCTTATAGAAGTGTGGGGTACTGCAGCTAAAACAAATTTAAAGCAAATCGAAACATGTCAAAACAAAGTAATTAAACTACTATTCCATTATCATTATCTAACTCCTACTGAAAAAATTTACAAAGAAACTAAATTAATGACACTGTCCCAGATTTATAAATATAATACATGCATATTAGTACATAAACTATTAAATAAAGATATACACTCTAAAATAACGTTTACAAAGAAAGGACAAATACAAAAACGTATCACTAGACGAAAAAATAATATTTGCTTAAGACAACCACGAACTAACTATGGAAAGAAAAACATACTATACGAAGGAGCAGAGTTATATAACAAATTGCCTAATAACATAAAAGAGATTCAATCGCTAACTTTATATAAAAAAACCTTAAAGCACCACATCTTAAAAGATTTTTCTCGATTTTAAACCAATATTAACGCATTTAAAAAGCGAATGTAATTTCTTCAGTTAATTTGATTTTACCACATTAAATTTTTAACTAATAGAAATATATAGGTATGAAATATATTTAACTAAAATATTATACCATTTGTAAACACTTAATATAAAATATAAACTTAATTATAAACTGCTTGCAAATATGTAATCGCTATAAACTTGCTTTCAATAATGATATGTAATTGTACACTTACTTTTCTTATTACCCTACATATTATTGCAAGAAGATTGTGCATGCCCAGGCAAATAATAGATCATTTACGAGTACCTGCCGTTCTTCATAAGTTCATGTATTTAGTATTTAAGATTAACTTGTTATTTCTCATGATAAGTGAATTGTATTCTTTTGAGGAATAAATTTCTTTAACCACAAAATCGGAAAAATTCTAGGGCGGTGACGTCACGTGTTGAACAGCATGGCGGCTATCGTTTTCACACAAAAATTTAAAACGATAGATTAAAAGTTATTTTTATGGCACTATTCGATTTTATAATTTTACATAAAAATTATAGGGGCTCATTATCACTCTAGGATTCATTTAAAACACTTTTTGAAAATAGGTGTAATACCCTATTGCCATAAGGATAAGGAATTTTCTTTTGTCTTGCACACTATTGGCGTCTATTACTATCTTATGTTTATGCTTATTATCTAGGTTACAACATATTTATTTTTCTATGTGCTTAATCATACGTGACCAAAATAATTACGCGCATGACAGCTAAGACATCATGACAGCTAAGGCGTCATGACTTTATTAGAACTAGGGAGTGAACACCGGAACAGTGATTGGTCACTATGGTAAGCGCGGGGAGAGAGGCGAGGTGTGGGCACCGAAACCGCATTCCTGTCAAGCACCTAATTGCTTTGGTCAAGTTTGTAGTTAGTACGTGCTTTACGTTTAAAGGAAATAATAATACAATAGAAGTATTTCTTTGAATAATGTGAAATGTTAATGTGATTTTGTTAAGTGTTTTTTTAATGATTGTGTTGGGTACAAAATTTAAATTTAATCAGCTGATCATAATTTAACGTGTTGATAAATTGGTAGGTATTTCTCCTTTTTTATCAGTGATAAAATTGATTAATGCGGTGTAGTTGTTATGCTTAGTATTGGTGACCAATTCAAATGTAAGTTACATCGGACTGCAGTGTTATGTTCTTAATATTATACACAAGTGGAAAAAGTAAAAATGATGTAAATCCTAGTTCAATATAAGTTAAATGAGAACCTTATCAATGTAGTCAAAGTTAATTAAATACGCATTATTAAAGATAACTCAAAAACTAATGGTCAGATTTTTATCAAATTTATATAAAACCACATGAAAAGCACGAGCTTTCAAATAAAAGAAGAATCATTAAAATCGGTTCATCATAAAAAAGTTCTAAAGATATAAAAAAAAATACAATCGAATTGAGAACCTCCACAGTTTTTCAAATTTTTAAAAATGAAAAATAGTTTTGTTTACCTAAAAATTTTCACATAAATGGCATTTATTATAGTAAGTTTACCTAAAAATCTATAGGCGCATTTTCATTCTACAACTTGGCGAAATCAATTAGGCGCTTGACAGGAATGCGGTTTCGGTGCCTACACACCGCCTCTATCCCCTAACTTCCCCTAGTG